GATAATAGCTTCTTCATCTTTCATGTCACACAGCCGGGCTTGTGAGTCAATTTTAAATACAAACTTGTAAAAGCTTTTATAGATTGTAGTTCAATAAGTAGCCTTAAGTGATCACAGCTTAAGAAAGTTTCTTTTCAGTTCACAGATGTCTCTGAAAATCATGTCTAGAGACTCAGTTTAAGAGTGTTTACAGATAGTAAGCATTTCTTATAGAAAAATAGCTTAGTTCTGTAGAAAATGCTCAAGAATGTTCTTCACTGAGATTGATTCATTTATAAGTTTGAAGAGTTTCTCTGTCTGAGATGCAGAGAATGATATTCTGTAAGTAATTGATAAGTTCTCTGAGACTTCTTTTATGAAGATTATTTATAGTTTAGATAACTGCTTCTGAGTATCTGCAGTAGAGTTTACAGAGATTAAAGCATGTAAGTTTCTAGTTCTTTCAGTTATAACAAGCAGTTGCTGACTGACTGAGCTTGAAATATAAGAATAAGTGCTCACAGACAATTATTCAGGTGTTTGCAGCTTGATGTGATATATACTGTTAACTACTAGAAGTATTCATGATAGAAAGATAAAATGTAGAGATTAAATGTATAATAGTATTCAAGCTGAGTTGTAAATAGTATTCATGAACTCCAGTCTATATAGTTGTGTGTAGCCAAGAGCCGCTAGCCCTATTGATTATGTGAGAGATAGAAATAGAGATAAAGAATCCGCGAGGAGCGGGATTTCTTACATAATTATTCATTCTCTTTTAATAAAATAATAGTCATGTCTTCTTCTCTCTCTCTCAAATAAAACATGACTTATGAAAAGTGAGTATTATATTAGATTATAATGATTAATATAATCTCAGTATACAGAGCTGTATACACACAGTATATACTGAACTAAGAGACTGTGTAGATTGTAAACTAGTGACAGCATCTTAAGAAGAGCTGTGTGACATGAGAAAGCTATCACTCTCAGTTACATGTACAGAGAATGAATCACTGAAGTAAGTGTATATATATTGTATAAAAGTAATGCTTTTTAATAACACTCAGTCTCTGATATTATGAAAATAGAGTCTCTTTGTAAGATCTGTTTTTATCAGAATTCAGAGAATCTTATATTTCTCAAGATTATCTTTATATATCTTATCTGTGAAATTGATGAAGAAAATCATTGATTTCAGTATTCTGTTCTTGATATTATTTAAGTGACAGCAGAGTTCATTCTAACCACACTTTTTAAGTGTATATTTTCTAATTATTCATATTTATACTGATATATACTGATTATTTATTAGATAATGTTAAGATTATAACTTATTACAGCTGTATTACTCTCACTGTGAGAGATATATAGTTAATAATAAACATTGCAAAGACTCTGAAGAGTGAGTATTTTAAAGATGCTGCAGCTCTGCTATTTTAATTTTTATTAATTTCTTTTATTTTTTCCTTTTTTTTCATTGTGATTTTTTCTTTATTATTTCTATTATTATTATTCTTTTATTATACTCATATACAAGCAGAGCTTATGATGAGTTCTTATGTGATATTAAATACAGGTCAAGTGTTGATTGTACAGAAGAAAATACAGATGTTGAGATCATATCAAGATAATAAGAACATAGAAAAATACAAAGAAGTGATAATTAAATACATGTAATAATAACTTCTCAGCTCAGAAATATAGAGTAATTTATTAAAGTGATTTGTACATCTCTGTATTTATTAGAAATCTGAGATGCTTAAGTTCTGAATTTAATATATTTCCTGCGGGTTTCGAACTCATGTGTCTTGATTTCTCATATCAAGACACTACTGAGTGATCACATTAATTATTTAGTTACTGAGATGTGATTTTTTCTTATTTTTATTTTGTTTTTTGTTTTTTTATTATTTTTTTATATTTTATATTTTTTTTATAATTAAAATTATATGAATTATAATCTATATTCAGAAAAGTAATGATATTTAGTAACACTCTCTGTTAAATTTTCAATAAATAAGCACTATGTTATAATATTATGTAAGTGAGAAATGTTTTCATAATCTTATTTAATATTATTCTTAATAATGAGATCAGAATGAATATATAACTAAGAATTCAAACATATTCTTTATCTAAGACTAGATTTTTATTTGAAAAGTGAATCTGAGATCTTTAATATTTAAAATAATATGATTTGAGATCAATGTAATGAATATAAATTATAATCAGAAGTAATACTTTTAGATAATATAATAACTGTAAAGTTTGATTCTGATCTCAGATACAGTCACACAGTCAGTCTAGTCACATGATCAGTCTAGACATAGATTACTATCTATTATAACTTTCATATTATACATGTTATCTATCACAGTAGATATAAGAATTACATTCATTATTATTTTCTCTTTAAATTATTATCATCTGACCTCTTCAAGCTTCTGTTTACAACTTTGAATAGAAGCTAATCTTTTCTCTGTTTCATTAGAACATTCTTATAATTCTCTTTTAAATCTTTCTTTAATATAATATAATTGATACAGATTATCAGTGTTAATCTTTCTTTTAAATAAGAAAATACATAGACTGATTAATAGTTGAAAGTAATATATTCTGATCAGTTACAATTGATGCTCACTTCTTATTAATGTCAATTGATAACTTCTTCAGAAGTAATCTCAGAGACTCAGAAACTTGTTCAGACAGCAGAGACTCTTGTTTATGTAAAGACATTCAAGTCTACTCAATTTATGATATCTGTATTATTGTTATTATTCTTTGATACAGATGTATAAGTGTAACATTTTCTGTCACTATTCTGTATACACTTAAGCTTGATAAGATAATCATTCAATGTCTGAAGTTATATGCAAAAGTCTTTATAAGTCAGGTCTTTATCTACACTTATAAGAACTTATGAAAGTTCAAAAGTTAATATCTTCTTAAGCATGCTTATCTTCATTCAGTTCTCTCAAGATTGATCATCTGATTCTAGAATCTTGATATTAAAGTCAGAAATAAATGTAGTAAGAGAAGTATTTCTCTGTTAAGTACTCTATAATCAATCTAATGCTTTCTAACATGTAGCAGTATCTCAGAACAGAATATTGAGATGTTTAATAACATTATCAGATGTATATAATACTGATTTACATGTCTTTATTCATGAATAGAACTTCTATCTTATGTGATTCTTCAATCATTCATTGATATATCAATCTTGATTAGTTAATAAACTGATGACATCTTCATCTACACTTAGTTTCACAAGCATTTTCAATCTCTATGATGAGTAGAGAGTGAGATCAGAAGTATTGAAATATGCAGAAGTATCTAAGCATTTCTTCAGTACTTGTATTGTGTTTATATTCAATTCTGTCAGTGTTGAAATTGCAGGGATTTCTTGTTAAGTTAATCATTGAATTTTCTCATATTGATGTTATTAGTTTGCATGTATATTAGCTATCTGTTATTGTTGTAATTTTAACATTACTCAGAGTCACTGTGACACTGCATCTATACTCATGTTCAAGAATTCTCTCATGTTATTAATAGATATATTGTTTATTGAATGTATAATATCTGTGAAATCAGAAGAAGTGTAATTGTATAAATATTTTATATATCTAAGATGTCAGAACTCTCAGATCTTTCACTGACATTTTCTTATGAAATCTTGTTACAGAGTCAGAGTGACTGATAAGTAAGCTTCTATCTAAAAACTCAGTATTTATTTAACTGATTGTTTATTTCTCTATTTCTTACATGTTATTACACATTCAGATATCTTGATAATTAATCATTTTTAATGAGAAGACAATGAATGCGAATAATCATTTCTAATAAGAAGATAATGAATATTTTTCAAGTGTAAGAGATCTATACTGAATAGATTGATATAATATTTATAGATCTTATATAACAAAGTGAAAAACATTAGAGAAGAAAAAGAAAGAGAAAGTGTGAAAATCAGTGATCAGAGTGAATATTTATACATGTATATAGTAATATACACAGTGAAGCTTCAGAGTAAAAGAATAGAAATTCTGTGAGTTTTTCAACTGAGAATCAGTAACTGAGAATCAGAGCTTTCAACAGAAATGCAGAAATCTATAAAGTGTAATAAAATAGTCTATATAATTGATCAGATGCAGTCTGTTATACTTAATTATATTTAATACAGTTGATAAAATGTTATCTAACTCAGCTGTTAAAAAGAAGTGTTATATAATTAATTCAGAAGTTATTGAAAGATCTCAGAAGTTATCAGAAGTTAATATATTATATAAGATTATTAAGAGTTCAGAAGTTATTAGAAGTTATTAGAAGTTATTAAAAAATATACTCAGTACTTTAACTATAGTTTCTGATAACTGAATAGATGTTTTAATAACAAGATTAAAATATTAAATAACTAGATATAATTATTGTTAAAAAATTAGTAAATTATTTCTATATTTAAAATCATAGTAGTAGTTTTTAATATAACACTTTATACTCAGAATATATATATTTTCAGATAAAAATTATATTAATTAACAGAAAATTAAAAAATTAATTCTTTAAAATAATAGAGAAATAATTTATAAGTAATATTATACAGTAATTCTATCTTAAATATTATAATTAAAGTAAATTATTTCTGTGTTATTAATAAATAGAAACTGTTTTTTCTCAGATACTCTGTGAAGAGTTTACTGAGAATATCTTATTTAGATTTAGTATATGCTCTGTGACAGTTGATTGACTAGATGTTAGCAGGACTTGGCAGAAAGTAGCAGTAGTTCGGATTGGGTTAGCTCGGAGTGAAGTGGCTGAGTTTACTGAGATAACAAAGACCTTTATAGTGGTTAGGTCACGTGATCTAGGGAGATCGCCACGACCGACAGTAGCCAAGGGCCGCTAACCCTATTGGTTACGCGAGAGATAGGAATAGGGGTAAAGGATCCGCGAGCAGCGGGATTTCTTACACATTTCAACATCTTCACAGCCATCATAAAGCTATATTTCTTTCCAATATTAGCTAAGCCATCTTGCTCTAGTGACAGTGAGTGATAAGTTCATCAGTATATGTATTTTCTTCCTCAAGCATGATGCATCTTTCTCTAGAAATTCTTCCTGCCTTGCCTCCTTCACCAGCCACTGCCTTCTTTCTCGCATTGTCAATTCTATTCTCTCTTCTGTCTCTTCTTTTCCCCTCTCTTTTCCCCTCCTGGCTCTCCTGCTCTCTTTTCTTCTTGATCTTGATCTCTCGTTGCTTAGCCCACTCTGCTTCTGCTTCTGCAGCTTTTTTTTTTTTTTTTTTTGAAGCGTTGTAAATTTGGCCTGTAGCCTGTCTATTCTCTTGCTAGACCCTCACATCCTCACATTGAACAAGTGACACATACGTTATGTATTAATGTGTCGAGGGGTTGACGTGGTGAGTTTGTTGGCTGCGTTTGTGATCACTGATGGTAGGGGTATATAGAACATAGATTGGGAGAGCGAAAAGCGAATGGAAACGAAAAAAGGACTGCAAAAAGGAATAAATGAAAATTAAAAAAGAGGAAAGAGAAAATATGTATCGGATGGATTAGAGTTAATTTTATATAAACTCGGCTGAATTCTCTTCTTGGCTTCACTTCATTCGATGCGAATGAGGGTAGATGGGGAAAAAAAGTTAAAGTAATAAGAAAAAGTAGAAAAAACTGTCGTTAACCTTGAAAACCGAATCGGAGTGTGCAACGAAAGGAAAATCTCAACTCATACATCGATTGACTGAACGAGGAAGAAAATGGAAAAAGGAAGAAGGAAGAAGGAAATTGGTTAAAAGAAAAGAAGAAGGCAGAGAGACGGGGAGAAAACCCGGCGAAACTATGAGAGATAAGAAGGAGAAGGAAAAGGCGGCTTATTAAAAATAGCGTAATGTAGGAGGAAGGGGGGGGTAGAAATCATCATATTGGTGTCTTCAGAAGAAAGCAGGGGAGGGAGAAAGAGGAGAGAAGGGAACAAAGAAAAATATACAGCAACGTCCTGTAGTACCGTGGTCCCTGCCATGGGAGTTGGGAGAAATGAGCATGAAACATGATTTTAAAGCACCCCTGGCCGCGTCGCATGGTGTGATGTGAGAGGTGAGTAGGGTAGACCGGGGGTGTGAGGGTGATGGAATGAAACGAGGTAAAATAAAATCAGCCAAACACGGAGATAAGAGTAGAATGAATAAACGAAATGCAAAAAAAAAGCCGCGAACACCACACCAAGCCATTCCATTTCCCTTTTTTTTTCCCACTCTTTTTTTTCAAAAACTTACATCCCCCAGCACACGCAACTTCTATCCCTGCCCCTGACCCTGGCCCGATGGCGTAGATGACGACTCGGTAGTTTGTCCCTGCTGTCCCTGAGCGCCTGTAGCCACACCAGCACCGCCCATCATAAAACCAGGGAACATGTGCATACCCGGAAGCGTAAACCCAAAGCCCGGCACAGCAGGGGGGACACCAATTGCGTTTGCGTTGTTGGCGCTCGCGGAGCCGTCGTGGTCGTTTCGATCGCCGTGGCCGTGGCCGCTACCGTTGCGTTGTTCGCCGCCATTGCCCCCGGATACTCCTGAGGATGACATTTGTCCGTGTCCGTGGCCGTGGCCGTGGCCGTGAGCGGGGCTGTGTCCGGGGCCGGGACCGTGGCCATCGTCCATCGGACCGCGGTTCGGGCGGCGGAAGCGTTCTGGTTCCATGTTAGTTCGGGTCGATTGGGGGCCGCGTTTCCCACCTTGGTCGGTGGCCATGCGTCGGCTTATTGCTGTTTGAGGTTTTGGTTAGTTTGTTTTTCCGTTGAGAGCGAGAGGCAGAAAGGGAGGTAAAGGAAGTTAAATTGCTTCTGGGTGAGTGAAAACATACCTTTCGAAGACACGCCAGCCCCGATCTCAATATCGGGTTCCTCCACCACCATAAAACTTTCGATGGGCTTTCCACCCGTTCCGCCGTATTCGGCGTTAAGCATCCATTTGCGGTCTGCGTCCGTGAGTCGTTCGATGGGGATGACGCTGATGCCGGTTTGGTAGTCGCTGCAGTCTCGAGGACCGAAACCGACACCCCATCGTGTCTAGGGCATGAAAACGTCAGTTGGTGAGCAATGATACGCCACGATCGATGGTTGGGACTTACTCGTAATTGCATGTCTCCAGACTTATATTGCTCCATGCCCTCGCGAGCAGTAACGGCATCGTGTCTATTGATCATCTTCACGAAAGCATGACGTTTGTCAATATTCACTATACATGTTTGGACCACACCGTAGCGGCCGAAGAGCGACCTTAAATGAGCTTCAGACGACCTGCATTTTCCCTGTAAGTTTAACCGCATGTCGATGAGGGGGCTTGGGCCAGCAAAAGATTTCAAACAGAAAGAAAAAAAGAAAGCAATAACTCACGTTACACCTCCGACGAACAGAGTTCTGCTGAGAACTATTATGAAGAAAATTAGTTAGTAGTGAGATCACAACATTTAAACATAATAAAAAAGTCGTATAAGAGATACCTTTGATATTGCCCTGGCCAATTGAATAATCTCGTTCCAAAAACTTCGGTCCGGGAGGAGGAAGCGCAGGCTCCTTACGAGGCGGCGTCGGGCTTCTACGTCGCCTTCCGGGTGGACTGCGCTGGCGATATTCAGGGGGCCGTCGTCCACGGGCGTCTCGAGTGTCTCGGTTCCGGCTCGGGGAGTCACCATGATATTCTCCATACACAGGGCTATCGCGACGACGAGGCGGGGAGGCTTCGCGGCGTCTATCCCATCCAGGTGATCTGGAGCGGCGTCGGTAACCTCCTGGTGGCGACCGAACATAATCCTCTCGTTCATGCTCTCTGCTGCCCCGGTGGTCGCGATCTCGGTCACGTGATGCTGTGTCTGGCGCAGGAACACCCCAGGTATTCTGACTAGCGGCAGGCGGCTGCTGGCCGAAGGCTGCTAAGGCTGCGGCGGGGTTCATATTGGCCATGCCGGTATTTGCAGTGTTGGAAAGACTTAGGATTTGCAGCGCCGTGGCCCACTGTTCTTGCGGAATACCCTGCGCAGCCATGAGCTGGAGCAAACTTAACTGCTGCAATGTCTCTGGAGGCAGAGCACCCGCCTGCGGCATCAGGGCAGCAAGTGGGTTCTGTGGTGCTGCCGCCGCCGCTGCTGCTAGAGGATTCGCAGCAGCAGCTGAAGCTTGTGCCTGGTTTGCAAACATATTTGGATTCTGAGCCATATTACTCAACCCCGCAAACTGATTTGCAAGATTTCCCGCAGCAGCGGCAGCAGCATAGGGGTTTACAGTCTGCCCATTGGACTGTTGCGCAGCCGGGTCTACGGACGCGGGGATTGGTTGCGGAACTGGATTTTGCGCATTAAATATACTATGGGGACTAGTTTGCGCTGGCGCGCCTGAGGCTGCTGTGGCTGCCGTGCTGTTTTTTGCCATATCTGCCAATGCTTTCAAGATGCTAGAAGTATCTGGTGCTGGCGTTGTTTGGCCGGGGCCTGCAACGGTACTGGCACCGGCAACGACAGATGATGATGATGGGGCTGCATGCTGAGCTCCGCCTAGGGATATGAAATTGGGGGCCGGTGATCCATCGGGCGTAGTTGATTCCACGTCTAGAAGAAAAGAATAATTTCATACATCAGAAAAACTGGTTTCAACATACCCTACAATGCCTCTTCTCGCTTGATGTATGTCGACTGTACGCTCCGTAATATGTCCGCTGCTTGTTTGTTTGTTTGTTTGTTTTTTTTTTCTTAAAAAAAGAGAAATAGGAAACTGGCGAGAAGAGGCGTTTGTTTTTGGCTTTTGGTTTGTTCTTCATTTTCATTTTAATCCAAGGGGGAAAAGGCTTACTTTGAGATACTGGCGCGTTTAGCTTCTCCTTGAAGGAAGCAAGCAGAGGCGCTGGAAACGTGTATCCACGCTCCCAAATATCCACTAGCTTCTTGATTTTGTCCTAGAAAGAAAAAACCGGTCATACGTAAGTGGGAATTATTCAGTCACCATATAGAAAACAGGAAAACAAAAGAGGATAATCAAAAAATCAGAAGTGTAAAATGAGGCGAGTCTAGAGCCCGGCGGAAAGATGTGGAATATAAAACCGCAGCTTTCGTGCCAAACGAAGGGACATATACGCGGGGGGGCATATTGTTCTATGGTGGACGCAACAAAGGGCCTCCCAAATGCTGATGGTATAATGCCATTATGCGTGTTTTCTTTATAATATAATTGTAGCCAGAAATGATTCTCTTTCTTTCTGTCCGACTTTTGGCTTTTTGTGTCTAAGAGTACGCGTACCTTTTGATATTCAGGAGCATTGTTTATGATATCAGTCATCAGGACGGGAAGCAATTCAGTCACTCTGTTAACACCAGCTGCAAATGTTCCATCTGGTGCACCGCTACCGACAGTTTGGCCAGCTCTCCGTGCTGATTCTACCCACTGTCGAGTTACAGAGTCTACGACATAGAGTACGCCCAGCTTGTGTGTTCCGGGGGCTCTTTTGAAGTGGGTATATATTTTTTGAACGAGGACGGATTCGGACTATAGAGTAGAAGAATATTATGTTAGAGATAAGTGTTTTTTTGCCTTCTATTTCTTTTTGCTTTGGGAGGCAGGTAGCATATATGGAACCTAGATGAGCCATACCTGTACATTGGCGGCACATAGAGAAGTGATGATGCTGATTTTGGAAGCTGATACTCCAGGTGGCTTAAGTGCCAACATAGACTGTAAATAGCCATCTAACTCCGCTACGGCAGACGACATGGCTTTAAACCGGAGGGGAGGAGTGTTTCTTAAGGGTTGCTACCAGTTAAGAAGGAAAATGACCGCAAAAAAAAGTAAAAAAGCCTGTTCAGGGCTTGATCGATTTGTCCAGACTTCTTCTTTCCAGATGAAAAATTTGTTCTTCTTTTGGTAATTGCCGTTGTATAGATAGATGAATACGGATGATGGACGCGCGGAGAGGATAAGAGTTAAAAAAGGCCGTCCAATAGAGCTGTTTTCTCTCCTTCTCTTAATCTACTGCTGCGAGAGAACTGTGACGACAACTAGGAATAAGGCGAGTCCCAGGAAAGTGTGGAAAGTATCTAAGTAGAAGAGATAGATGATTATTCAGGCGAAGATGATACCTATGAGATCGAGCTGGATGAAAGTCCTGATGATACTGTCGTTGTGCGAACGAGAAGGCACTACAAAGACGCAGAAACCTGTTGACCTACAGGTCGAGAGGCAAGTGAGCAGCGGGCCAAAGACGCCCAAAGCGGTGTAGTGAATACGAATACAGTCAGCGGGGAGAGGAGAACAGAAAACGACAAGGAATAGTTAAAGAGAGGATGGATGGAGATGGATGAAAAGTGTTGATGCGTCGAAGGTTGTTGAGGGTAGAAGGTTGAGGAGAAAAATTACCAGTTTGAGCAACCGGAGCTAGCCGTTTTCGGTTATCACGTGATTTGCTTATATATTGGAATCGTCGGGCGACATGATTGGACAGCCGATTTGTAGCTCGTTTGTTGTATCAAAATCACTACTAATAATGGAGAAGACCAGGAACAAAAAAGAGGCTAGTCTAGAAAATAGAAAATAGAAAATAGTTGTAATGTAGAGTGCTCTACTGAAGGGGTTGTTGCTTTTCCCGCACGCATTCACTTTACCTCTTTTATATAAAATGACACCATCAAGGATCATTTCTACCATGTACTCTCTTAACCCGGTTGGCTACATTCATCAGAAATTTTACTTAGCGAAAACTACAAGCTCCTCGTGGATCGCAGTGTATATAGCAAAGAATTGAATTTAGAATTTAAATTTATTAACCACAAAAAAAAGAAAGAAAGAAAGAAAAGGAAACGAACAGAAACTCCCAAAAATACAAAGTGGCAAATCACCACGAACCCAGCCTATACCTTTTTTCTATCCGTTTATTATCTTACAGTTGGGCTCCCACGAGCTTGGCATATGCCTCAGTGCTGAAGCTCTTGGGTCGCTCAATTGGCATTCCCAGCGCGCGGTCGATAATCAGCTGTGGGAGCACGCCGAGGGCTCGGGAGACACCAAAGAGCACAGTGTAATACTTGGCCTCAGTCAAGCCATAGTATTGAAGGAGGACGCCTGAGTGGCTGTCGACGTTGGGATATGGCGACTTGACCTGTTGTTTTCGAATCTGGTTAGTTGTGGTCCGTTCTAGAACAGTTGGAATTGTAATAATTGGAGGTTACATACCTTGCCATGCTCGGTCAGAACGCCAGGCGCGATCTTGTAAACTTGGCTGACCAGCTTGAACATAGGGTCATCGGGAAGCTTGCGGAGAGCAAATTCACGCTGGCAGGTGTAGCGTGGGTCAGTCTTGCGGAGGACGGCATGGCCGTAGCCGGGAACAACTTGACCCGCGTTCAGTGTGGACCACAGATAATCCTTAATGGCCTGGTCACTGAGGTCATTGCCAATGGCTTTCTTCATCTCCATAAGCCAGGTCAAGACTTCCTGGTTGGCCCTGTAGGAGTACATTGTATCAGTAACCGTTTGTCCACGGCGGGTTATTTATTTTTATCTGCATATGTAGCCACTTACAATCCGTGGAGAGGACCAGCGAGGCCGTTAAGGCCAGCAGCAAGAGAAAGCATAGGAGAGCTCAAGGCGCTTCCAACCAAGTGAGTGGTGTGAGCGCTGACGTTTCCACCCTCGTGGTCGGAGTGGATGGTCAGGTACAGGCGCATCAGCTCAACGAAGTCGTTGTTGTCACCATAGCCAAGCTGATTGGCCAAGTTGAAACCGTAATCCTTATCCTTCTGAATGGGGGCAACTTTTCCATCCTTGAACACGTTGCGATAGATCTTGGCGGCGATGGTGGGCAGCTTGGCAATCAGGTCCATGGAGTCCTCGAAGGTGTATGTCCAGTAGTCTTTCTTGTTGATACCCTTGGCGTATGCCTTGGCGAAGGCGGACTCGTGCTCAAGAGCAGTGATGGCTAGGGAGAATTGGGCCATTGGGTGCAGAGTGGATGGGCAGCGGTCGATCAGCTCCTCAATGAACTTGGGGATATCGGAGCGGGCAGCCCAATCTGCGGATAGGGCGCGGACCTGTTGTTCACTTGGGACCTCGCCGGTCAAAAGAAGCCAGAAAAGACCTGTTCAGCCAGTTAGCATGGGGCAGTCGCATAGCAATGCATTCACTTAGTACCTTCTGGCAGAGGCTCCTCTCCACCAGGGGCTTTGGGAAGTAATTTCTGGCATTCCGGGATCTGGAAGCGGATTAGCACGTGATTTCTCTCGGGAAAAAAAAAAAGCATCTGTCGCAATTGAGAGAAAACACCTACAGTCTTGCCCCGGAAGCGAATTCCCTCCTCAGGATCGAGGACGGATCCCTTTTTCAAGCGATTAGTTTCTCCCTTGTATAAACCCGCTTGATACAAAAGTGAATCCATACCTCCCAGACAAGGGATTTGACTCCCCGAGCACCTCCGTAGACCTGGCCAAGAGTGACTTCACCAATAACCTTGTCTCCATAGTCTCTGTAACAACGGTGGTCAGATCAGATATCTACATATATATATATCGGGGGAGTTTCAGCTCGTACTTTCTCAGCTTCTTGACCTTCTCGATCTCAGCTGGGATGATATCGGCGAAGGTATCTTTGAGCGACTAGCAAGACAGAGAACTAGGTCAGCGCATAAATCTAGGCATTTACGGGATGTCAATTTGGGTTAACAAGAGATGTACTAACCTTAGTCTTAGCAGAGGAATAGCATCTCAAGCTGTTGAAGGCGGCAGACTGGACAGCGGGTTTGGAAACAAAGGAGGAGCGGAGAGCAGAGCTCCCCAGTCTGAGAGATGTAGCCATGGGGAATGAAGGGGAAAGAGAAAGAGATCTCAATGATTGACGAGAGATAAGACAGGGAAAGCTAGCAGTGAGATATGAAAGTAATTGCGGAGGGAGGAGAGAAGAAGAGAGGGAGGAGACAAGCGGAGAGCAAAAAGAAAAGATTATGATTGAAAACAAGAAGACAGAAAAAAGTTAAGGTCCCAAGGCCAAAATTTCCTCGCTTTGAGATCCCGTATTACCAGTACCATATTACCGCCAAGATATACAGCCTAACGCACCTGCTTCACTGGGCCACCGTCATACTCGCCGTAATACGGTTACAGCTTCTGTTGGTTCTCCACCTCAACCAATTTTTTTCTTTTTCTTGCGGCCATATCAATATCCGCCTCGTGTATTTACGCAGTACTGTACACAGTAAAATCCTGATTTTTATAATTCCTATATGCCCGCCGGCTTCCGTCAGAATAATAATAATAATAATATAAAATACACAAGCGTCCGGTCCTCCGGTGAGCTCGTAAGGATCTGTCCTCACAAGCCCTCCCCTCCCGTCTCTATCTATCTCTACGCAGCGTAATACATGTTGGATCTTCCTACATCTTCCGCCCGTGGTGACAGTTGAGCCCATCAGCCGGGACGTGAGCGATAAGTATTTTCACGTTCAGCTCATTGTATGTCATTTGTATGGAGTAACGTTAATGTAATACTGTGGCGCCCTCGTCTCTCCACGGCGTGGGGGGCAAGGGAAGGGGGGGGGGATTTGGGGGTGGTAGTATCGCGGTGCATTTCTGATGTTGCTAGACACACAGTTGAGTGTCATACACATCTAATAAAATACATATCATTCACTAATATCCAATTCTGTTCCACAATATTTAGATTGAGTATTTTTTAACTTATCAGAAGAGGAGAAGAGTGTGGCCGTAGAATAGTTTTAGATTATTATATACGCTGAAATCCACGGATAAAAATCAGTTGAGTGTTACATACATATATCGATATGTATGTACAGATTAACTGCAACCTAATAATGCTTGAATGGCTAGGTTGTATTCCACCTGCATATTCCACAACACAAACCATGCAAAAAATCGTTTAGTCAATCATTTCTGTCACTCTTGGCTGCTGTTCATATAGGATTATGTTTCAGATCTAGAGCAGGTACCCCAGAAACCGCTCAAGAGAATGCCACTCTCCAGGGTCCTTTTGAGCCATGCAACACCCAATGGTAGGTTATGTTGTCTGATGAATGTGATAAGTTTTCTTAAAGTTTTTTTTTTTTTTTTTTTTTTTTTTTTTTTTTTCCCAAAGAAAACCCATCAGCATACTGTGGATAAGAAGAGTGTATGTATATATTGGCATTTCTAATCCGGATCATTCAACAACCCTTCTTCAATAAACCAGTGAGAAAAAGGATATCCTGGATGAGGGACAAATATACATATCTAAATTGACCCGTGAGGTGATTGTGCGGATTCGAAATGTCTGGGTAGATACAAAAGACCATGAAAAAGGCAGCTGGTTGGAGCCAACTTTCCCGATAGATTGCTAGGTGTGTAACTATATATTGAGAATCGCATTGTTTCTAGCAGTCGAAACCCTTAGACTGACTGCAGCCAGGAGCCCGAAGCCTGGATACGGTTTTCACTTGTCCCTTCTGCACTCGTCCTCGGGCTGTTTGTTTTTCATGATGCACTAGTGGGGATGCTGTGCGTTGATATCGTCACCAAAGCCTAGGGCGGCCCTAGCGACCTAGGGGGCTCGTCCATATTGGTGGTCCTGATGGCATCATACTGTCTATGCTCCTTCAGCTCATCGGGTTCAGTTATGGGTTCTCCTTGACGGTGATTAGCTGCAAGGGCAGCAAGGCGCCTTTGAAACTCGCACTGGTATCCCTGAGGGAAAGAACCTTTCGCAACAACTGCGGAAGCGATGCGGATCCGTCGTATATCATATCATCCCGAATCAGTTGGAAGTCTTCATTTCAGTCACGTGCAGATTAGGACTGACACTTTTGCCGTAATCGATATAAATATAAAAGGTAGATAAATGTGTACAATACCTATTCTATTCATTTTGATGAAAATGAGAAATTGTATGAGCAAACACTGAACATGGTATCATTGTCAAAGTACGGAGTAGATATGTAGGAGTTCCTGGAGCTTGTTCTGTGATAATAGTTACATCTACAACCACAGTTTTCTGGGGGGATTTGAGGACTGCAGATTTGAAATCATACCTCAGTAATCAACATCTAAAAGAATTATTCTGTAGAATGTAAACTCTTATTAATTTGCGTATTATTAGCCGGTGTTAGAGTGCAGCCTCTCGGCATCGATCCAGCGCCAAGACGCCTCATGCTGCCGTCAGCTCACATCGACTTCGCTTCACAGAAATATTATCCATAGACTCTCCAGTATCATTGTTTCATGGATAGTTTATGTGAATTCTTATTTACTAACGTAGGCCAATCTCTACCAACATGCTTAACTGGGTGTACGTATTTTTTTTAATATTATTTAACTCCGGGAACATGAATCTCACCAAGTCGATCCAGCTCACGCCCTTCGCTCAGATGGAAGATCCACGAGCATTATCAGCGAACCCTTTTCACAAACGGAGAGGCGCTGCCATCGCGGGCAGAATTCGATTTCTTCATCCATGTATCTACCCGGACCTAACTGAAAATTTTGGCTTGTGTCCGAATTTCTGTACCCGTGGAGTTGATGTCCGATCCGCTGAGCCACCTTTTCTAATGTTGTAATGCAGTTCAAAGGCTTAAAGAAGCTTATGTCTTACATTGAAGCCCTTAGGCTCTTAAGAGTGGCTTCCAATTGTGCCCAATTATGCCACTTACCACTGCTCTATTCCATGATGTGTATTTTTATGTATGCGTGTGTCTGAGTGATTCTATCCTACTTCGTGAGAGTGGAATGGAAGGGCTCTGCACATGTCTATCCAAGTCTATATCCGGTAATAAACTCCCAATTGACCAGCTAACCTTTATTAGACCTTATTAAAGCATATACTACCTAGGCTCTTCCAGAAAACAATGACAATCTGAGAAATAAGGTACGACAGTAGAAATCAAATCAGGAGAAGATCCAAAATGTAAATTCCAACTACTAACCTTAATATAGTGAAACAGAATCCTTGTTCGGTGGCAACGCGGCTAAGCTGTAGGAGTTCCGCTCCGTGAGGCCGGCAGAGCATGTATGGAATGCTCGGGACATACTCCGCATGACCTCGAATCCGTGGGTGATGACCCCGCACAAGCCTCAATATCACGATATGCGAGGTTCATAGATACAGATATAGATACATGTACCATAGATACATGTTCATGTATATATATATCTCTCGTATCTATGGTACATGTATCTATATCTATCTCTCTACACCGGTCGAGATAGCACATTAGTTGCACAGCTGTTAACTCCCGCAACGCACAAAGATAAGAATTAAGAGTTGAAAAAGCATTGAAAAAAAGGCCTTCAACATCAGAATCTCATTCCTCCTGTTTCACTAGGCGCTGGGCTTCCACTTTGCAGCTGTTGCTAGTGGTGCTGGATAGAAGTGTGCAGGTGAGTTGATGTTATCTCCCTCTCCTCCTCATTTCCCCTGCCAATTCTTGCCTACCTGGAAAGTTTTGTTCATTCCTTCCAAGTAAACATGTTTTCCGCTTCTTCGAAAGAACTTTTAAAAGCTATGATCTGATATAGAGTAAAAAGGTTGGCAACGATAACAATCCTGATTCCAACCCCCCGGGTCCCGGAGCCTGCGGGGGTGTCCAGTGATCCTCATGGCTCCCATCATATCGGACCGGACCTTGCACTGCGTTCCTGTGGCCAACAAGGCGAAGATAAGCGCCATTTGGAGGATCTACAGGGGATGAGCTAGAGTGGTGGGAATGGCTGGGTAAGTCATTCATTTGTAGGAATCCATTGAAACTCCTGCCAGAAGGATGTAAAAAAGCATACTTGCCTCAAAAATGACGAATGCAGGTTCCTTGGATGTACATTTTACATCTGACTCGAAAAAACTCTTGGCCGTTGTGTCTGAGGGCGATGTTGATCTATTATTCGAGTCATTTGTTGTAAGGTTATTTATTCTCTAAATCAGCTAGCTCATTTCATATATGTTCATATGAGCAGGAACTCAGTGCAGATGAATATTCTCTCTACTTTTTAATTGAATCTTCTTTATAGAATTCAATATCAGCTCAAGATTCATTCGATTTCTTTTGTTTATTTTTTTTCTTTTCTACTTGTATACTTTTGTTTGTTCTTGAGTTGAAAACAACGATAACTCCAGCAAAGATCGTGCAGGCAGAAAGGAAGTAGATAGTTTATCATATGAGTATCATTGAACATTCATGACGCTGGAAATCCTGATTCTAAAGGAGAGATATATATATAGAACTATATATATATACAGAACATATCACTTGCTGACAGACAAAGAGTTCTATCATTTTGATCAACATCTTCACGTGAAATTATAATCAATCCATCATTAATCACCACGCCATTGTTCAAAATATTATTCTGATCCCAGGCACAGTATGTATGTATTGTATGTATGTATGTATGTACTCCGTAGTTGGTGCCTTGCTTCTTGTTGAGCCACGACGCAATCACGTGCTCTAGCCACATCCCAACCAACTCCTGCACTAGTCCATAGTGGGACTAGCTGAGTATCCAACCGGCCGAGTTAAGTTTAGCGTGCGGTCCCCTAAAGGGCCTGCCTTACGTAATCCACCTGGATTTCCGCATCCGGCAATTACCTTCTGGCCCCTGCTCTGTGTTCCGCGTCGTTTTCTTTCTGCTTGAGCTTTTTATTGCCTCGATTTGCTTGATATTTGATATATCCAAAGAAGAAGAAGAATAATAACAATAACAGGCGGAAATACACGTGGTAGGTGGCTGTGTTGTCTTGTAGCTGTTATAAGTTATTGTTGTTGTTTCTCGGCTTCAGGTGGTGGCTGCGGCTAAATAACCGTCGGACCTCGCCAGATTTTTTTCCCCTGAATATCCCGAAATAATCCGACTCAACAACATACGTGCAAAGGAAACTCGATAGCTCAATACAAAACAACTGCACCTCGTCCTCCATATCCGTCTCGATCAACTCCCTGATCTAGAATCCGTTAGAGACTAAGAAACAAGGAAACTAAGACTGTATGTATTGCGCGCGACCAACTTCTACCCGGAGCCACATACCTCCATTGCTCATTGCTCTACCTCTTGATTCCACCTTCGCGAAATCCACAAGACTCAGGAGAAGCTAACAAGACAGTCCCTTTCCCTCTCGCCTTTTCACTTCCCCTCCGACGAAGACGTCCCCTATTCCCTTGGTCAGGGCCCCTTTCAGCGACCCCAGTGTCCTCAATTGAGCTCCCTCCAGCCATGTCTGTTACTCAAATCTCTCCCGCGGCGGGTGCGCCGAAACCCCTCGAGAAAAAGCCTATCAAGTTTAGCAATCTACTACGTGAGTTGTGTCTATCCTTGATCTTGTTAACCCTAAGTGGAGGATGCAAGTTCAGTGAAAAGTGATGATATTGCGGCTTGCTGACCCAGCATGGTTTGTCCGTAGTTGGGGCTGGTTTGAATATGTTTGAGTAAGTATTTGCGTTCTTTTTTCTTTTCTTGGGTGAAGCATGGACTGTTTTTGCTGATTAATTCTTTAGGGTCACGACGCTGGGACAGGTAAAATTTCCCCACCTCCGTAATACGTCTTGCAAATTTTAGTCTAATATACTGTAGCCGCTGGAAGTGATCAAGACGACTATGGCCGCCAACAGGAGCGACAGCTTCGCCGGCGCCATGCGTCGGATTTGGGGTCGTGGCGGTGTACTTGGCTGTTAGTTTCCTCTAAAAACCCACTATCCGTCTTCACCCTCTTAATCATCTCACCAACATCTCCTAATTTCGCATATGAATATATATAGACTACCAAGGTCTCATTCCGTGGGCCTGGATTGAGGCGTCCACCAAAGGCGCAGTCCTTCTCTTTGTCGCATCCGAAGCCGAATTCTATGCCAAATCTTTCGGAGCCAGTGACTTCGTCGGCGGCATCAGCGGCGGCATGGCTGGCGGTATCGCGCAGGCTTACGCTACCATGGGCTTCTGCACGTGCATGAAGACGGTCGAGATCACCAAGCACAAATTGGCAGCGACGGGCGTGAAGCCTCCCGGCACCTTTGCGACCTTCATGGATATTTACCGCAAGGAGGGGATAAGGGGAATTAACAAGGGGGTGAATGCGGTGGCGATTCGACAGACCACGAATTGGGGGTCGCGATTCGGGTTGTCGAGATTGGCGGAGACGGCGATCCGCAAGATCACTGGGAAAGAGGAGGGTGACAAGCTCAGTGGGTTTGAGAAGGTCATTGCGTCCGGGCTTGGTGGTGGGTTGTCGGCATGGAATCAGCCGATCGAGGTTATTCGAGTTGAGATGCAGAGTAAGACGGTTGATCCCAATCGTCCGAAGAATTTGACTGTTGGTAAGACATTGAGGTATATCTATGATTCCAATGGGTTGAAGGGATTGTATCGTGGCGTTACACCCCGGATTGGGTTGGGCATTTGGCAGACTATTTGCATGGTTGCTTTGGGTGATATGTACGTTTCCCCCACCCTCTTGTAGTTTTTATACCCATCCTTGCTTGAGTGTTTTATCATTGATGCTAACAACATCCTTCTGAACAGGGCCAAGGAGACCGTCGAGAAGCTAACAGGTGACAAGGTGACCGCCAAACACTAGAGAGCTGGCGGATATATGAATGGCGGCTGGCAATTATCATAAATTCTCATCTTACCTTGGGAGACAAACTCACTTTTATTTCAGTCGATGCATCTGTAGTTTCGCGGTATCTTGAGCCATTGATAATTGTATAATCGACTTGTTCTCGTGTTGACTATTTTCCGTTGCAGCGATTACCCCCCCCGCCGTTTCTATATTCGCTTATTTTTGTGCTCTGTCTGGAATTACATGAGTATACTTGTTTTTGTTTTATTCCTGGTGTCTTTTAGAGCCTTTACAGGTTACATATACGATGTAATACAATTATAGATAACCATTTATCATTTTATATTTACTTTTTGGTTTTAAATTTATTTTTTAAATTACTTTATCATATATATTTTCACCGTTTGTTCTCATTTGTCTTCCAACAAGTTGATGGTGTACAAAGTACAGAGTACGCCTGTGTGCTTTGCTCCCCGCGTACCTGCGATCGAGCTAACAATGCCGCGCTTGCTGCGGTTGTGGCGTCTAATGTCCTACCCACATTATTCTATAACTCCTCTCTAGTAGCAGGGTCTCGCCACAAGTTTTCTCACTACTAACTCACAAGTCAGTTTGGCAGTATGCTAGTTCAATCGGTTTCCTAAAAAGGGTTTCAAACTTGTGGTAAAGCAGGCCACATCCAACTCCAGATACAATGCCCGGACCGCTGTCATACGGTGCTGGAAGCTTGGGGCGGTGCGAAATTTTGAACCAATTCATGCGCACACGGTAGGGCCCTGGTGAAAAGGAAAGGGAGATGGCATATTTGTTTGGCCCTTCTGCACAGAGAATGTTCAGGTTATATATCCGTGCCACGAGTACTGCCCGCTAGGGAGCTTATTTACAATCTCTGCCCGTCTGAAGCGGTCCACATATATATATATATATTTATCTATTACCCACTACCTCGTTGCTCCTGCGAATGATATGAGCAGGTGGGATCGGGTTTCGTGACTGGAACGAGTAAATCCTTTAGCCCTACCCCAATCAACCGTTCTGTCATGGTCTTGAATGCATATCGGTAAAAATTTCCAAGCCATACATGAGGGCTGGTGAAAAGAGCCAGGAATAGCAATTAGGTTGAGGGGCCAAAATGTCCCGACTTCGGCCATCGAGTCAGGATGAGGTGGGAGCTGTGCTCAGCTGCGTCCTGAAATACAACTTCTCCGGTTATTTGGGTCTGTTAGGACAGGCCATTAGAGCCGGTGGTGAAATGGCCTGGGGCGAGGATGCGAGGTGGATAAACACGAGTTTCATATCCGTTCTTCCCTCCTATTGACTTCAACGGTTGAAGGCAGTCTGCGTCTACGAAGATCAGATTCCTAGAATGGAATACTAGTTCTATTTAGATGCCCGCGGCAAAACTTCTCCACGGCGAGGCCCCAGCAGGATGCAGCCGTCATTATACTTGGACCTTCCTTCATCCAAACCTCGAAGCCGCCATTTCGATACAAGCTGACTTCCAGTACGCAGCGAGTGGCGTTGGGTTTCTTTTCTTCCTTCCTTCCTTTTTTTCTTTTTCCTTCTTTAACGTCTGTTTCAAGCCGGGTGTGATTTGTCGAATCAGCTGAATGACCGCGCTCAACCTCGTCAGGCAAACACCAAAAAAATTCAAGACAACTTCGCACCACGAAAGCATCCAACATGAGAGCGCGAATCACAAAGAGTCAAACTTGTTACATTTCAATGTCATTTTTACTGATGGCTCAGACCGTCTGCAGGATTTGTTCTATGCGACTCAATTGTCTTCTGGCAATATCCCGTTGACTTCTACCAGCGGTCGTTGCGCATCATTGGTGAGTGAGGGGTTTGAGAATTCGGACCCCTCGCAGCACCTTCAAAACCAGACTACGCACCAGCTCAACACTCCAATCGTTGCAAGACAAAAAATCCGACCGCCGGAAGCCCTATTCCTCCACGTCACCGGCATTTAGTGAAGAAGCGTCACGAAAAACTTCCCTCCTCGCCTCCGTCAAAAGCCGCAACATTTCCGCTGTGCGCAAATTCCTCAAGACGAGCCCCGGCCATCTTACCCCGGAGACCTATATCATAACCCTTCAAACCGCCATCTCGCTCGGCGACCACGCTATTCTCGAGCTCCTCCTTACCTCTCGCCCACCCAGCTACCCACTTCCCCTTGACAACAAAATATACATCAACAGCCTCCTCGCCACCTCCTTCGACGGAAAATTCTCCATCTCCACCTCACAAATCACCCAGAAAACAAAACATCCTTCCAATCCTACTTCCCCCTCGTCCTTAAAGCAGCCGCCATCCGCGGCCGCACCCACATCATCATATCCCTCCTGTCCCACTACTACGACCGCCTTAACCACCCTTCCTCCCCTGCCCACACACACCATCTCATTCCCGCCCTCCGCACCGCAGCAACACAAGGCCATACGGACATCGTCCGCCATCTCCTCGCTCGCGGTGTAGACCCAAACCGCGCCAAGCGCTTCTTCTTCGACAACCCGCTCTAGGCTGCAAGTTTCAAGGGGCATACGGAAATCGTTGGCTTGCTGCTCAGGCATAACGCGGACCCTAATGCGCGCGGGTATCAATTTGGCAGTGCGCTGCAGGCGGCAGCGTTGCAGGGGCACGCGGAGATTGTAAGGTTGTTGGTTGATGGGGGCGCTGATGTGGGCTTGGAAGGGGGCAAGTATGGGACGGCGTTGAAGGCGGCGAGGCACAGGGGACATGAAGAAGTTGTTAGAGTTTTGGTGGAGGGTGTGAAGACGGTTGATGAGGATGGGTCGGCGAGGAGAGGGTAGTTGGAGGTACTTGGGTTATGGGGCGACCACTGACGGTGTGCTGTGATGCGGTAGGGGCAGCTCAGGGGCTTGTGTGTGTGTCTCTTCCGGTATCCTTTTTTGTTGATTTTGGTAGTCATATTCCCATTCATGTTTCAAAAAAAAAAAAACAAAAAAAAAATTTAAGGTGGGGGGACGCTGGCCTTTCTCACCCCCTTAGTTAAATATATTTTAATATATAATACCTGTTCTGGACATTGCTTGAAACGTCTTGTGCTCGTATATGAGCCTAATGACTATTTCGTACATACTCAGAAGAACCAGAATATCTTGAGATTGGATGTGAATCAACTTGACTAACATGTATGTGATCAATCGACGTGGGGTCCTTAACTACAGGATAACGCCTATGGCTCTATTAACTATATGAATACCGCAGGTTTCCTTCGTCTGCAGCACAGTCAAACTACAATTCTCAAAGGAAAATGCTATCTGCGAATATCCTTTTCGTAAGTACGTATTTTTTCGCCCTCTCGGCCCCCGCTTCCTTTCTTCCGATTTCCCACGGATGAGCTAGCTAGCACGTACATATGTACTATGATCTAACAGAGAGTTGATTATCTGCATACAATTACACAAGAAGGAAATAAAGAAATGGGACGGAGGTGTGATGTGGCATTGAGCGTTTACAAGACACAAGTTGAAAATTGTGGGCAAGGTTGCTGGAAGAGAATATGCACAAATGGAAGAAAATATAAGTCAAGAACCAAGAAGGAAAGAAAAAGAAAAATGTCTGGAATTGGGCGTTGGCGTTGGTTTTTGAGCCTAGATCGAGTGGTTCACGTTGCTGGCTTGCTTCGTTTTTCGTTTCTTTGTTTTGTTTGTTATCGAAAATGGAACCCTGAGGAAGAGAAAAAGGAAGTATATTGTGGGTAGATTTTAAGGTCTCTCTAATGTAACAGGATGAAACGGGGGTAATTGACAATGGTCCATTAATGGCAGTGAGAATGGAAATGATTGCGGCAACATGATTCGCCTTTAGACAGTTAGACCGATTTCCGCGGCGAAGGGGAGGACATGCAAATCGCCAACTGCGGAGACGGAGGCTTTTCCAGAGAGGAGAGATTTGGCGGCCTGTTTTGATTTCCGTTATATCAGCTTGATTCAATAAATAACAAAAAGAAAGAAAGGGAATCCAAAATATAGAAGAGGTGGTGGAATTTAAGGGGGGGAGATGAACTGGGCTATACGTACCGCCTTCACTTGTTGTTCGGTGACCTTCTCGATACCCTGACCAACCTCAGTAAACTGAACAACATTGTTGCCATGAACCAATCTGGATCCGGCGAACTCGAGGCTCAGCGCGGCGATCTCCCCAGCCTCCAACGCACGGAACTTGGCGAGGGCGGTTGCCTTTTTGATCTCCTCACTGCTGACGTTGCCAGCCGCGAGGTTCTGGATTGCCTTGATAACGCTCTTGCTGGCAGCCGCGACACTCTGCGCCTTTCCGGAAACGGTGACGTAGAGGAGACCGGCATCGGAATATGTAGCGTTGTTGGTCGACACTGATACGTCGGAGAATGCTTCGGTGGCCTTTGCGAGGAGGGAGGATCCAGGAGACCATTTGATGGTGGACTGGCCTCCGAGGAGTGCAGAAATCACAGCGAGCTCTGGTTTGTAGCTGGTACCGCTGCCTGCAGCACTGGATCCGGGGAATGCAATCACAATGGCATTGCCGGCCTTGCTTGCAATTCGTTCCTCGCCTCCATAGTACTTCGTTGGTTCATATGCCCTAGGGCTGAATGGGCCAGTGGTGGTTGAGGCAGCTGGGACGTCACTGAAGATCTGGCCAACCAATTTAGACAAATCGGCACTGTTGGCGCCACTGGCAATGACGGCAATGGATGGTTTCGAGTATGCGCCCTCAGCAAATGCGGCAATTCCCTCTGCTTCAACATACTTTCCGAAGGATGAATTGGCGTACGGAACCAAATTCTCCCCAAGACCACGGTGGAAGGCGACGTTATGTGCGGAATCCAGTGCCTGGGCAGCTGGGTTCGATACGAGGTCGTTCTGGGAGTGTTTAACAAGGTTTAGGACGAGCTCATCGAGTTCATGTTCTGAATGGTAAGGTCTGTTGTTAGAGAACCACCAAGGCCAAGTTCATACCCATTGTCAGCGAGCACTACTCACGTGAGTATTTAGTTTTTGTTATTACATCCGCAAGGACTTCTAGGTAGTAAGGAAGATCAACGCTGAGGAATTTGGCAGAAAGGACGATGTTTTCTCTGGAGTGAGACGCAGACAATTCCCCACCAAGCAACTCAGACTCTCTGGTGATTCGCAGCGCTGACCGCTTGGTTGTAGACTAATAAATTGCAGTTACATGCCATCAGCCATCTAGCCGTATATATTGCCAATGGGAGCCACGAAATTTGTGAAAACAATGCCAGATGGCTGGGCAGTCAACTCACTTTGAAAGCAAATTTCTCCAGGAGATCGGAATAACCAGGGAAAGGTTGGTATCGTGAGCCAGCCTTCGCAACGAGCGACAAAGTGGTGGTAGGTCCGGCAACCTCTCTATTAGCAAATTTCACACCAGCAGCTTCGCCAGACTCGAAATCGAATCCCTTGGCCGCCGCCGCCATGCCGCGGCGAGAGGAAGGTCGGGCGATACATTGTTTTCGGAGACAACGCGGCGCATTCCGGCCGAAAGCAGACCTCGAAAGCATGATCGCACGCACCTGGGGCAATAGGAGCGGAGTGGGAGAAAAGAGAACAGGGGAAATTGATAGCAATTGGCAGCAATTGGCGGTGGGAGAGAGAATTCACAGTGATCTCTGTTGCGTCTTCGGCGGTTTCATCGAGATATCTTTTGATAGATGAGGTTCGAAAGCGGAAAGATGCTGATTAAGCCGAGGAGCGGATTACGCGATTGCTGATTGGCTGGGTTGACGAAGGCTTGGCATTCGGGAGCCGGGTTTCTCCGATATCATGTGACGGTAGACAAGGTTACGGGCTGTTGGCTCAAAGGGGAATAGCGCGGATATTTTTCTGCCGAGAACCATCGAGAGTCATGAAGAAAGCATGAGATATATCACGATATAAGTTATGAATACATGTAGTTTCTACCAATTCGTTTAGTCCCACGCTCGATTACCTCGTATCAGTCGCGTTTGCACACCCATGAATATTCAACGGTGACATTGGGGTCGCTTCTAGAGGAGCCGGCACTTTCTCTAGAAGGAAGACAGGGCGCATACATCATGTCTCAAGTGAGCTTTTAAATCTTGCCACCGCTTGTTGATATATCATTTGTAAATATGCTGATATTGGATTGTTAGTATGCGGCGGAGCTTTGCAAGCTGTTGATTACGGACAATTTCGGGGAGCTATATTCTGTATGTTATCTTTTTGCCTGGCCAACAGGCAAGAGTTGATAGATAGTGGGGGATCTAACGTTCTTTTTTTTCCTTCTGCGCTTAGTTGATATTTTCCTATCTGCTATACCATGACCGCCAACCTCTGCCTCGCATTGTCCAAAATACCCGTCTGTCCCCTCGACAAGTTAGACACGGCCTAGCTGTGCTAATCCAACAACATCTCATCTACCACTACACCTCTTTGGACGACGGTATCACATACTACGAAGCTAGCTGGAGGACAGCATACAATCTGGTACGGTCGGGCAGGATTTTACAATTTGTGGAAAAAAAGCTCGGGGAATATGCTGGAAAGGTGCTGGCGACAATCTTGTATCTCGGCCACGCAAGAATCAGCTATTTGGAGACCCTACCAGAGCTACGCCCTCAAGCCACAAGTAAAGCCCGAAAAGGCGCAACAAACGGGTTGAATGGGGTTCATGATGATGCGGAAGAAGAGGAGGAGGATATTGATGCAGACCTAGAGGGGAAAGAGGAAGGTGCATCGGGAGGGGTAGAAGGGGCACTGAAAAATGGCATTAATGGCGACCACGACGAGCCAACCGCCTCGAAACTTCACACTACATTGCGCTCACTTGCTGCCTACGGATATATTATGCGAGTACGGGATGCCCATTTTCAAAGTCCCGCAGATCTCGTCGACGACGCTGAAAGAGCTATCAGCGCTCGATCAGATGTCCGCGGTTTAAAAGGCAAAAAGCTCCAGGAGGCAATCGATGCTGGAGTGGAGACGTATATTAAAGAGAAGACGGATGGAACTATACCTCAAGACCCACTGGGAGACGGGCTACCCCGCGGCATCAAGAGGCGTGCGGGACAATCGACGACGACCTCGTCGCACAAGAGGGTAAAGCTTGAACATGCGTCGGAGGGCGAGGAAGATGCGGATGATGATGATTTTTATGGTGATGACTATGTGGATGGTGACACCGCCCCAATGGACGTGAGTTATGTCTCTCTGCTTGGGTTATATATATCTGACATCTAGTGCTAACATAGCGCAGCCCAACTTGATCGTCCGTGTCAACTATCAAAAGGTCGAGGTGGCATTACGAAATCGACGATTAACAAGACTGGCTGAGCAGCATACCTCTAGTGTGACGTCTCAAGTCTACGAGACCCTCCTCGATAGGATTGAGCTTAAAACGCCCGCATGCCGGAAAACTTTGGAGCGTGCTCCGGAGGGGGAGGAAGGGGAGCAGTATTCCGTTGCTATCCCGTTGCATACCATTTTGAATGACCTAGACCCCGATCTAGACCTTTCGAGTTCCATGGCTGGAGCGGATCCGAAGAACCCTCTTTCAAACGGACACGTGGGCCTCAATGGAGACGGAGATGACGATGACGACGACGAAGCTGATGGCGAGGCTGTGGGGACAGGCAGCCGGAATCGCGTCAAAAACCGCGTATATGAACTAGAGCAACACCTCTCCCTCCTTGCCCAGGAGCCCATCATCTTCTCAACCCGCAGCATGCAGACAGGCATGATAACCTGGGCCGTCGAATTCCGCCACCTTGCCCGCCGCCTCCGCCACCTCGAACTTGAACGAATCATCGAATCTCGCTTCGGCACCATCGCCGTCCGCGTCATCCGCGTCCTCGCCGCAAAGGGCAAACTGGACGAGAAACGACTGCAGGAGATCAGTCTGATGGCATCCAAGGAGCTTCGCCAGGTTCTCGCGCGCATGGAGACGGCTGGTTTCGTGGACCTGCAGGAAGTACCCCGCGATGCGCAGCGGCAGCCGTCGCGGACAATGTATCTCTGGTTCTTCGATGCGGATCGCGTGGCGAGGATGGTGCTGGAAGATACATACAAGTGCATGTCGCGCTGTCTGCAGCGGATTGGCGTCGAGAGAAATAAATTAAAGTTCTTCTTGGAGAAGACTGAGCGCACGGATGTTAAAGGGAATGAGGAGAAGTATTTATCTCCGGCGGAGTTGAAGACGTTGAAGGAGTGGCGGGACAAGGAAGCTTTGTTACTGGGGGAGGTAAGGAGGTTGGATGAGTTGGTTGCTGTTCTGAGGGACTATTGACCTTTTATATATGGTCCCAATTTTGTTTCATTTGACTACACTGTCTCTGTTCTGGATTGCTTTTGTTTACTTTCAATGTATTTTCATTCCTTTTATTTTATTTTTGAAATTCTGTTTAATGATTTCCTCCACTTTTGAATATCTTCTTTTTCTTTGGTGCTCTGGAACACAAGTAAAGCGATGATTGGATTGAGCGCCATGTAAATGCAATTATTCTTCCTTTGGAGTTGGCAGCTGCAATCTATAGAATAAGTTACTACTTCCGAGGGCTATTATCATCGCCTGGCCATCGCTAGTCATGAGCAAGCGAGTTGAGGCGTTGCCAAGTTGCTGACTGTGAATGAAGCTGTTCTAATCTAGAAAGTCTCATGGAGGTAGAGCTCCAGATTACTGTGCAAATAGGGACAAACGGGCGGCATAATCTTTGGGCGAAGGAGGATGCTCTGGATAGCCCTGAGTCATTTAGTTCCGTAATTATTTGCTGGGGAGAAGGGTAGTTAAGGAAAATAGGGACGAAAAGTGTTCATAATTACCTCCCAGAGAGAGTGCCAAAGCGACATGATATTGAGATTTGAGGCTTGCTCTTGTCAATGGCAAAGGGTTTTTCGAGATTAATGACAAGTTTAGGCAATAAATCTTTATGAATGCAGCACCCGCTTTCGGAAAGAAAGAAGAGAATGTAAGTAGTTATGCAGAACTTGATGTTTTGTCGGCACTATGACGGCATATTTTACCATAACGAGATGCCGCCTAAGACTAAACACATCGCAATCGTTATATTTGAGCAGCAAGATATCACGTTATGTTTGTCACAGTTGTCCTCCATGACAGAATAGGAATGGGGTAATATCTATAAGTACCATCATTTAATCATTTAATTGGCACATAACTATACTTAGCATTCAGCTTTAATGAAACAGACGGAAGGTAATTTTAACAGCTTACATATCCCTAATCGCCCTATCCTCAGCCGACAGATTGAATATGTCTCAGATGGTATGGCTGGTGACAGGTTGCTCGTCACGCTTTGGGTACGAGTTCGTTCTGGAACTGTTAGCAAGGGGAGAGCGAGTAATCGCAACAGCTCGAAAAGTTCAAAAGTTAGCTACACTCGAGGAGGCTGGTGCAAAGATCTTGAGGTTGGATCTCGCAGATTCTGAGTTGCAAATTATGACTGCAGTTAAAGCTGCAATCGATATATACCGCACCATTGATGTTCTCGTCAACAACGCCGGATATCTGGAGGCTGGGGTATTTGAGGGTCTCAGGTACTCGAAAAGAGAAAAAACCCATGATCCGCCCCTTAGAGGCCTAGGATAAAAATTGATGACAAATTGTCTAGTGACGAGAAGTTTACGTGTCAGTTCAGGACGAATGTGTTCGGCACGTCGAACGTAACTAGATCCATCCTCCCTCATTTTAGGAGCAGAAGGGCTGGCACTATCGTGGTAATTGGGTCCGTCGCGGGATGGCAAGGAACATTGGGAGGCAGTGCATATAATAGCTCGAAGTCCGCTGTTGCAGGTATGCGTGTACCCATCTGTTAAAGAAGTCCTCGTGGCTAGTACTAAGCTATCACTTTAATGACAGGAATGTTTGAGGCTCTGCAACAAGAGACGGCCCACTTGGGTATCCGATCCCTTCTGGTCGAGCCAGGGCTGTTTCGCACACAGGTGTTTTCTCCCACGAATGTCTGTAAGAATGTCTGCCCGATTTCAGACTATACGACGGCCACCACAATGATGGACGAATTCCTCGCTGCCACAGCTGGGAACGAGCCGGGCGATCCACAGAAAGCGGTGAAGGTCATTATTGACGTTGTGACGAACAAAGGTGTTGGCAAAGATCGGGAGTTCCCAGCGCGTCTTCCTCTTGGGAGAGATGCGCTTGAAATCATTAGAAAAAAGTGTTCTGATACATTGGCGCTCCTTGATAGGTGGGAAGAGGTGGTGGTTTCCACTGATATTTCCATGTAGGGGAAGGTCTCCAATTAACTATGCTAGTCTTGTTAGCTATGGCCATTATCATAATCGTACGCTGATTTTATTATGTTCGTCGACGTTCGTCGACGTTCGTCAATATGGATTGGAGGGCAGTTATAGGTTCAGACCCCACCATGTATTCTCAGCTTGCCAGAGGGTGGATAATGGCCAATTCAAATAGCAATGCCATGGGATCAACCGAAAATATCTTTCCCTTCTACTAAGTCACAGTTCAATATATCAATCATTTTCAGACGTGTATGACGGAAGAAAGTGGTGGAAGATGTAATTGCTGTTGGTGGTTTCAATAAGCTAAACATGCGCAAATCATACCTAAAAATGGGTGCATCTGTTAACAGGCTATCTCCGCCTATGTAAGCTCAACCCAAAGTTCCATGTGTAAGAATGCATACCATCATATACGTGCATTTTCTTTTTGGCTTGGAGATGTTTTGTCCTGCTTGATGCCGTTGACGTTTGACTGACTGACATGACATGGTTACACCCTATATATCGCTTACTAATCAAGGGGTGCCAGCGAACTTACATAATCAGGCCAATTTTTGCCGCGTTTGACTTCATCTTTCCTTTTTTTCTCTTTTGGTCTGTTCCTCACCACGGTTAATCATGGCATCCTCCGTCCATTATAGCCTCTCACGGCTCTTTATACATTCTTCGATTCTGGCGCCTGATAGACCCCACAGAGATGTGACCCTTTTCTATGATAGCCCCAAAGGCGGGGTGTTGTCCAGTTAATCCATCCATTTGTTTTGGCGCAGAGGCAGTGTTGCTACGTTGCCCCTGCGTTGCCCTGAACGCTCTCTCCAACCCCTCATTTCACCTCAGATATTGCTCCAGAAGCCTCGATTAGGAATTTCTCCCAAACCTTATAGAACCAAAAAACTAGAAACAAAGAAATGGAAAAAGTAACACTTCCTCGTTCTATTCCAATGGTGGACCATTTGCAATGACTGACCAAAAGACTGTGAGATAGACTACTAGAATGCCTCTTGATACATTTGCTACGGAGCTGTTGCTCCAAATATTCTACTCCTGCAATTCAATCGCAGATGTTCTGAATCTCTCCTTGACCTGTCGTCGCCTTCATGGTGTATTCTCTTCCTCGCAAAAGCTTCCCATACTTGCCAACGCCGTAGATGCCGAGTTCGGACCCCTGGAGGATATAATACAGTTAATCACTCAGAATGCTAGTCAGCCTGCTCATGTTTCCCGTGAGGCGCCGATATCCCTCTCTCTGATCCAGCAGGCTGTCGAAGTTGGCCGCGTGGCTAAGAAATGGGAGGAGATATATCCGATTAAGAAATGGAAGGTGGACTTTGAAAACCGCCGAGTCTTGAATGCGCAGGAACGCCTCGTGCTACGCCGAGCTGCGTACCGTCTTTGGCTGTACTCGAGGGCTTTCCACTGTCAACTATTTCCGCGAACCAGTCGCACGCTCCCGTCTATCGTCCATGAACGAGCCGAACTCTTGCATAACTGGTCTACGAGCGAGCTAGCTGAGATAGAGGATTTTCGATTAGTTATGCGTGAGGTCGTGCAGAACCAAATCTGCCCGAGCAATGAGACGATCCAGCGAAAGTTTCGTAAAAGGTTCCCGGAGAACACACCGACGTCGACTCATTTTCATCTGGATTGCTCTTCGCTAACTCCGCCAGTTCCATTCTCGCTACTCGGCCCCCACGGTAAACCAGCTCCTACTTGGTCATCTATCGATAATAATAATCACCATTTTCGTGCGCTCTTGACATCCCGCGCCAAAAACAATAACAGCAATAATAACGTCATTATCTCAACAGTTAACAAATACGTCACCAAATTTCACTCCGATCTCTACCACGAGCCCGGAACGGAGGGTTGGGGCGACCAAATTCACCATTACTATGTTGTCGAGGACATGATGAAGCTGGACCCTTCGCAGGTGCTATGGTTGAGAGAAAACGCTCCCCTCAAGGGACAGGTTGAAAGCTACGTGCGGTCGATGGGAGACTGGTTCGACAATAATGGCGAGACATTCGGACAGACGCTTGAATGGGTAATGAACGAACGTGGAGGGGACTATATGGAGCTGCATTTTTCGATTGTTGACGGGGAAGTGGGCATTGCCACAGCGAAGAGCTGACAGCAGTTCTGTGGAGTGTGGTTTTTGTTCCTCCATTCTTTCTTTCTTCACCCTGGATGTCGATATATACCGTCCTATATAGTAATTTTCGGCTTCTCGCTGTCGTTTTTCCGCCTCGTTCTTTTTGTTTTGATGGATCTAACTTGATTTGGCGATCTGGAATGACGTTTGAATGTGCGTGATTATTACATACCCACTTTTTGTTTTAGGTAGTTTTACAAGTAGATAAAGTGAATCAGCCGATTTTGTTTTGAGTTATTCGGTGAACTACGGAGTACTGAGTGGCGAGAACCATATATGTGAAACGTAGTCTATGTCGGGCAGGGCCCAAGAACTGGGAACACGATTCCAGCGATAGTTTAACTCACCCTACGGAGTATAAAACATAACACACCCCAAGTAACAAAAGTTAGAAAGAAAGAGGGGCAAGAGATAGAACAAACAATAGAAATTTAGTTTATATTTGCAAGAATAATTAATAATTAACAGCCCCGGGAGAAAGGAGGATGATGGATCGTAAAGAATGTGAAGGTGAAAAAAAAAAAAAAAAAAAAAGGCGAGTATAGAGACGACAAAAACTGGGGGTCAAAAAGAAAGGAATGGGGGATGCAAGAAGATTGTCAAGTAAACTGATGAAGTAAAAAGCCCAAAACAGTTAGAAGAAGGGAGAAAATGATGATGAAGAGGAAGGACGAGGAAGGCCCGAAAAAAAAAAAAAAAAAAAAAAAAAAAAAAAAAAAGAGGGCCAACGGGCAACTCCACAAATCATTGATCCCGTGTGGCCGTAAACATTCACTTCTGGAAATCGGGGATATCCTCATCGAACTCCATCGGGTCTTCAGATTATCCCTCTTTCCATGCTCAATTACATTCCACCTTAGCCATTGTCTTTTTTTTCTTCTCACATCACCATGCTGCTCTCCCTAGGCCGTAGAATGACAGTGAAAAGAAGCTTTAATTGGCGGACAAGGCGAAAATGAATAAAAACATGCGGGGCAGGTAAATACAGGACACGGCATGGGGCATGACATGACACATACAGAAACACAACGGGACGGTTCTTCAGGTTTAGATCGACCTTGACGACCGGAGAAAAAAGGGTCGGAGAAAAAAGGGTGAAGTAGAAGGGGGAAAAGAAAAAGAAGATAAATAACAAGCGAAGTCGCCATACGTCCAGTCCAGACCAAGACCCAAACGTTACAAAAAAAAAACAAAAAAACAAAAAAACCTCAGTCATATCTAAATCTCGCCACAACCACCTAGTCTTTCACTGGGAGCAAGCGCCTTGTCCAGGCGAATGCTTCTAGAGTGGTGATCTAGAACCCCTGTGTTATACTTTTTTTTAGCAGCACTTTTGCTTTGCGTCTGCATCCTGCGACTTCGTGATTTCTACAACCTTGCGGTCGCCTAGAGGGTTCTGCCCTGAGGTACCGTTTTCGAGCGCTTTACTGGAAACGATGCGGTAGATTTCTAAATAAGACGCCCTGTCAGCTGTTTTGTACCTTGTAGGAATGAGAAAAAATCTAAGGTGGTTATAGGAACTGTGAGTTTGTATTACCTGTAAGAATATTTTGGAAAGCAAGCTCGACATTGGTGGCGTCGAGGGCAGACGTTTCGATGAAGGATAGCTTCCTTGTCTCTGTTATATAGGCCAGTTAACCTGAGGAATAAAGAGATTCCCTAATTTTAGGCTTCAGGGGATGGATTTGAGACTGGAAAACAAGTTACAACATACCCGCAAATTCAGCGCCTTGATCAGTTTTAATAGCCCGCACATGTTTCTGATCGATCTTGTTTCCCACGAGCATAATGACAATGTTTTTGTCGGCATGTTCCCGTAACTCTTTCAACCATCGCTCGCAGTTTGCGAAGGTCTGTTCCTTAGTGGTATCATATACAAGGAGGGCACCCACTGCGCCACGGTAGTATGCAGATGTGATGGCCCTGTATCGTTCCTGGCCTGCGGTATCCCAAATCTGAGCCTTGATTGTCTTGCCGTCTACCTGGATAGAGCGGGTTGCGAACTCGACACCGATGGTGGACTTTGAATCGAGGTTGAATTCATTGCGGGTGAATCGGCTCAGCAGGTTGGATTTGCCGACGCCGGAGTCTCCGATAAGGACCACTATGTTCCCGAAGTAAAGTCGAGATCTTGGTTAGTTATATGGAACAAAATTTTGCATAATTATTAAGGTGTCAAGAGGTGGGAAGGGATTAGATGGTGGCGTGAGGGAGCGGCGCAAAGCTCGTGCGGGCTGTACCTTTGAAAAGGAACTAGAAGTTGCAGAAGCATTAGATATTATCACATAGACAGATGCAGTAGAGGAGAACGAGAAGAACGACTTACATCATATTCGTCGTTAGCCATGAGGGAGGATGTGGAGGGCGAGAGCTGCAGTCTCTCTTCTCGGGAAAGGGGTTATAATAAGGTGATAAGAGTGACACTAGAACAAGATAAACCTCGAAACAGGGTGCTAGGTTGACAAGAAGGTAAAAGACTGTCTGCCAGTCAATGGCGTTAAGTAAATATCGGGAGGTGGGAAGCGTTGTGTGTTGATAGAAAGTAAGAAGTAGGCAACTAGATGTCCGCTATATGAAGCTGTGTTGTCTGAGGTTTGAGATGGGAGACGGAACAGGAGGGTGTGGAGCGGCAGAATAGTAGGTACCTGGTACCTAATTCCCCTGGTCTATTGGCAAGTAATTTTAGTACTGGGTACTTTCGTGGCAAGCCATCCTGAGACGGGGGGGAAACTGGCTGAGTAAGCAAGAACCCCCCAACAAGAAGTTGCCAAGAAATACATCACGTGCTGATTGTGTTAATAAAGAACAAACGCCGGGGGCTGGTTTGATACTTGCCATATGTTGATGATTATTATGTTGATATGTTGATATGTTGATATGTTGATATGTTGATATATGAATGAATGAGGAACCCGCTCTCTACGGGACACTACGCCAATAGCCCGTCATTGTAAAGGGTATCTGCCGCCATCCCTTCCTCGCTTTTCACAAGCGCAATTTCTTTGTCTGCGCGTAGAAAGCCGGAATTCATCCTTTGACCTGTCATTCATGCTCGATGCGTAGTTGTTCCTTTATGCTATAATGATACGAAACACGACGCGTCGAAATCTATGATGCGCCGTCCTTTCATAGCCATATACACTATTGTTTTCTACATTCTTTTCACTTTAGCGTGGCCAAAAATTTTGATTTTGCCATGACTTCCAAGGAGGCGTCAACTGGATCCATAGGCGACGACGATGACATTTCAGTCACTTCAACAGTTGGTAGTGAGCCGCGGTCGGAATATGAAGTGGAAGCTATTCTTGCCCAAAAGAGCTTTGCTAACGGTGATGCATATCTGGTAAAGTGGGCTGGCTACCCGCTGGAGAGAGCAACGTGGGAGCCGGAGGAGTCCTTTTGTGATCCTAGCACCTTGGTGGAATGGAGGAAGAAAATTGCGCCTGGAGAACATCAGCCTTTAGATGTGGATGTGGAAGCTCTGGCACGCAGGATTGAGGAGATTGAAAACGCGAAACTCGATAGACAACGCAGGCGTCGGGCGAAGCGGATTCGCCTAGGTCTCGCGGTGTCCCCTTCAACTGAGAGTTCCGGTGCCGCTTATGATAGCCGGGACAGTGACTCCGACCTGGATGGCTTTATTGTCGGCGATGATGTTGATGTGGAGGGAGAGAATGAAGAGGAGGGTTGGCAGTCATTGCGAAAGAAACCACGACGCTCGTCCAACAGCAAGACAAAACACGGGGCGGCAATGGCTGCTCCTCCCTCGCTATCTCACAGCGACCCAAGCAAGTCTCAGGCTTCTGCTTCAATACGGCCGCCATCGGCTGAATTTACGAACAAAAAGAATAAATGCGATGCCACTTCCGCAGCCAGAGCTCCAGCAACTAACCTTCAATCCACGCAATCCACGCAATCCACCAAACTTATATCTCCAACAAAGCAAGTACAGACTCCAAAGAAGCTGCAGAAAGCTTCTGAACGTCACGAGGCGCGGCCAATTTTAAAATTAAAAACCTCATCATCCACTCACCCTTCGTCCCACTCCTGGCTGTCTCCTGCGCAAGGTCAGGCACCTTCATGCTCATCACCTAGAGAATCTGTAAATGACCAATCTCAAGTCCCAGGACCCTTGATCCCCACTGGGCTAGCGAACAGAAGTGTTTCCATCCGAGCAACAAAAAAAACGGGCTCAAACCCAACGTTTTTCCGCAATTTGTCCTCTAAAAACAGGTATGAGAAAGCCATGCGGCGGGACTTAACACCAGATATCATGCAACTAGAGTTGAGACCTCCAGGCGAATGGATTGCATCCCAGAACAGTACAACTCAAGTTTCTGAATCGCCATCAGACTTTCGAATCTCTCCCAATTCAGAAAGCTTGTTCGTTGAGCAAGATCAGCCCCATCATGAGGCTAACAATCGCCGCCATTCTCATGATAGTCCAACCAGAATCGATGTGTCAACTGAGGCGAGAAGTGGCTATCGATCTAATCAGGCTCAACACGCTTCGGGGCAACCATCACAAAAACTCTCCCATAAAGGCTCTCTTAATAGTTATCACTCGGAAACTAGTATCATTCGGTCACCCGCATTTTCTCCACGCGAAACTATCTCACTTAGACCAAGCCGTCATGCCACACCAAGAGGAATACAAGGAACAGGAGGCCGTTTCCGATTGTTCCAACCGACAGAAGCGCTTGCCCACCTCCGATTTGGACCAGAGAGTAAGGAAATAGGCGATGTCAGGCTGGGAGGCCTAACAAAAACATCAATTTGGCAGTTGGTGCTTCTCAAATCACAAAACATGATTGATATACATTTTAAAGATGTGTGCAACCTTGACCAATACAGACAATTATGTGATAGGGTAGGTAACTCTTTCTTGGCACACAACATTAATATTTGAACACTGACTAATTGATTCATTCTACAGAGGCAAAACAAAAAATACTGCAATGGTTACGTACTTGGTTATGATGATACTTCCACGGCAGTTAATGAACTAGCAGACTACTTGAGTGACAATCGGTTGGCTGCTTTATGGTATCACCCAAAAGACGACATACCAACGGTCATCGTAGCCTACGCTTCAGATTGCCCAGATTGGAGTTTTTTGAACGGGTCCGACGCGTATCCGCCTGCGAGGCTCCGCATTGCGGTACGGAGTGGTCTTGCCCCTGTTAACAGTCTTCGGCCCGTCTCTGCTAAGGAAACACTCTACCATGCCGGTGAACACAGCGCAGGCGGGGAGGAAAATCATTTTAATATGAACCCGCAGCCGATAGAGTCTATGGCACAGCAACATGGAATCCAATCTTCACTGTCGAAAATCTTGTCTGCAGCCAATGGCCCCATGGATATTGTATCCATTTTCCGAGAGCGGTTTGGCATCACTTATGATGAGCTCAGCATTGTGAATACCTCCCGGACTGCGCGATCCTTTTACCTGTATTTCCCGCGTGAGGTGGAAGATGAGTTTCAACTGGTCCTACTTTTCTTAAAGCACTATGATATGGTTTCCTTTTCAAATCGCATCGAGGGTGACTGGGAAAGGTTTGTCAAGACTGTAACAACTGGCACTGTACTGGTGAGACTTACAATTTTC